GCTCCGCCTCCACAGGGATCCCCGGGCTCCATCCTGCCGCCCGATCTCCGCGGGGGCGCAGGCAGGCTGTGCGGGGTCTGCGCGGAAGAGCCCCTGCCCGCCCGGCCGCCGCCACTGCGCTCATTCCATGGCCGGGAGTAGAGCGCTTCAAACAATACGCCCGGCCCGCCAGGCCACGCTGGGAAACGTAGTTCGCGCACCCCGCGCGGGCGCGGAGCCCAAGGGCGAGGGGACTACGGATCCCGGCAGCCCCCGTGCCGGGGACGGAGGGGGAGAGGCCGGGTGCAGGGATGGAGGGACGGGTGGGCGAGCGAGTGAGTGAGTGGCAGCCGCCAAGCCTTGGCCGAGAGCCAGGAAGGGCCTCCCCGGAGGAGGAGGAGGAGGAGGGAGGCGCAGAGCAGGAGGGAGGGAGGGAACCCCAGGGGTCATCTAGTGACGGCGCCCCAATCGAAAATTTGACTTTAAAAAAAAATAAAAAATCTTTCAATTTTTTAATTTTTCCCGCGGCACACCAGGCAACATCTCGCGGCACACTAGTGTGCCGCGGAACAGTGGTTGGGAAACACTGCTGTTGATTATCAATGCCAGAATTAGAAATCGACTTGCTTTGAATGTAAACTCAAAGCTTATTGAACAGCCTTACAAAATGCCATTATACTACAGCATAATTAGGTAGGTACTGTATTATAATGACATTTTGTGAGGCTGCGTGTGAAGGATATTACCACGTAAAAGACAATGGACAAAGATTATTGAGTTGCCACAGTGCCATATGGCCAGGGGTACAAATACCTACCCACCTCACACATACCAATAGCAGAATCCTGATTTTCAAATAATCAAGTGTTTTGGTCCAATAGCCATTTTCTATATATGGTTCTTCACAGCCGGTTCAGTTGTAACCTGTCCCCCCGCCCCACCCTCTTTAAAAGGTAAAGGTACCCCTGCCCATACGGGCCAGTCTTGACAGACTCTAGGGTTGTGCGCCCATCTCACTCAAGAGGCCGGGGGCCAGCGCTGTCCGGAGACACTTCCGGGTCACGTGGCCAGCGTGACAAAGCTGCATCTGGCAAGCCAGCACAGCACACGGAACGCCGTTTACCTTCCCGCTAGTAAGCGGTCCCTATTTATCTACTTGCACCCGGGGGTGCTTTCGAACTGCTAGGTTGGCAGGCGCTGGGACCGAGCAACGGGAGCGCACCCCGCCACGGGGATTCGAACCGCCGACCTGACGATCAGCAAGCCCTAGGCACTGAGGCTTTTATCCACAGCGCCACCCGCGTCCCCACCACCCTCTTTAGAAAACAATATATTTGAACTGAAGTGTTCAAAACAACTTACAATCACAAAAGCAAGGTGGCTCAAGTGTCAATAGCCAGGGTATTTAGACCACATACAAAGCCAATGAACATCTCTAGCGTATAGTAACAGCTCAGTAATCTGTAGCTGCAACTGCTCCTCTCATGCACACAAACCATCACTATCATAGAGCATGGAATTGTTGTGCCTTTTGGAAAATAGACACAGTATGGATGGGGCAGCAGGAATATCTCTGTCTTTTCATTGGAACTTGAGAGACTTGGGGGAAGAAAGATGACTTGAATGAGATAAATGTGACACACACACACAAACTCAAATCTATGAATGATGGCTAATCTACTTTAACAGCTATTATTTTACAAAAGAGGAAGTTCATACCAATGGATTTAGCAATCTACTGTTATGTGGAACTAAAGCAATTAGCGCTTCTTGGTACAACCAAATCCCAAGCATCACTCAAGAGAAACTAGAGGCTACTCTGTGTCAAACAGCTAATTACAGAGGAAACAATTTGTGTGTGGAATTCAGACTTGAATATTGGCTTCACCAGGATGAACTGGAAATTAATTTGAACACTGTACTTGCTTAACTAGTGCCCTTTCTCCCTATATATCTGGCTTCACTTCTGCTGTGCTCCCCCAAATCCTATATACCTGAAAAAGGCTTGACATTACAAGCAGAGCATGATCTATTAGAAACCACTTTGAACTGAAATTGAAATATTCTCCTCTTCACTCTGAAGTGAATACTAAAGACATATATCAATCTATAAACCTGTCTACATTGATTGGCTATTATTTATATGGAGGTGTTCTCTCAATTCTAGTTTGTTCAAAGGCCACTCAAATTGCAATTTGAAAAACACATCAAGGGGAAAGCAATCTTTTTACACTCATCATCGAGATAATTGAATAAAGCATTAAGGTGCTCAGTCATTTTTCTGTCTAAGTAATGGTTATTATCTCAAAAGAACTGGGAGAAGCTTTACTGTTCATCAAGTCCAATTCCAGAAGGTTATAACCTTGTGGTATTATCTCAAGAGATTACACTAATCTCTTTTAGAGCATTTTTCATTGATGGGCCCCCAGTGACCAAACCTTGGCAGCTTCTCACTTTCCGGCAATTTTCCCATTGATGTTGTTGTTTTTATATGGGGGGGGGGACTGATGGATTAGGAAAACCCTCAAGAACCCAAAGATTCTGAAAAAACTATTTCTGTGCAAAGAATACTGATTACTACACTGGCAAGTATTGTTCTAGAATTCTTTTGTCCGTTTTTGTTACCATCTTGTTGCTTAAAATGACAGAAATTGAGCCCAAAAGTCCAATAATCATCAATGGCAAAGGACAACCAGGTGCCAGTACATGACTGGAAGCCAATCCCCATAGCAAGGGAGAGGATAATTATTCATCATCATCATATCTGTAGTAGTAACAATTCACTTGATATCCTGCGCAACAGAGGTTGAGGACATTAGGACCAGGGGCCAGATTCAGTCCTCCATCCCTCTCTAGTCAGTTCTTGTGACTCTTCATAGGCACCACCCCTCACCAGCTCTGTGCCTTCCTTGACTGCTTTTGGCTTATCTGCATCCTCAACTGAAGAAAAGCCTAGGTCTTTCCACTTTCACTTCTTTTATTTCTTCTGTCCCCCTGTTGCATTGTTACTCTTCCCCCCTCCCTTCTCTCTTTTACTCAAAATGTACATTATAATCTTTCCAAGGAAGGGTACACAGTTCATCTCCATTGCTCAGATTTCATGAGATGGTTTGAAGGCACATGTACTGTAATATGGCAACTTTGCTGAAGTGAAGCAGGTCAGATCTGTGCCTAGCCAGGTGGCTGCCTGGAAAAAAAATATCTCATGGAAAAAGAGAGATGTAATGCACTGAAGTTTATTAATAAAGTTACTCGGCAAGACACAATCAACATTAAACTGGCATCATATATGGTTGTGGCAGAACCTTGCACACAAAATACTGAACACACACACACACACAAAACCCAACCTATAACTGAAAGTTGTACCAATTTATGGGATTAGTTACAAGTGTGAACCCATGAGTGAAAGGTGTGGGGTGCGAAGTCATGAGTAAAAAGGAGGGAGACATGCCTTCATGGAATACCAGCAACTGATATTCAGAATAATCACTGTCTCCAATCATGTCTCCAATTATTTTACTTGTCTTGAATCTTCCAACATTCAGCTTCATTGGATGTCTATGAGTTCGAGTGTTAGGAGAGAAAAACTTTTCCTAGCCACTTTATCCATGCCATGCATAATTTTATAAATGTCTAGTTGGCATCCATCTGTCTCAGGAGAAAAAGGACGAATGCACCTTTGGGAGTGACGTCAAACCATCCAGTGCCTACTAAGGCTGCAGAGATTGATATGGGAGAGACATGTTTTGTTGCAGCTGGGGCAGATGAAGGCTTCCGGTTGTGTTGACGTAGGTGTACCATGGCATTTATTCTTTCTGCACTCCTCCCAGCGGTCATCCCTCCCCTGGTCACTGCTGTGGCTAGACGACCTGTCTCCAGCCACTGTGATCATCTGCAAGGGATTCCCACACAGTGGGATTAATGTTGCCAGCCTTCACGTCACATTTGCAGGCATCTTTGTAACACAGAGTTCATCTGCCATCAGGCCTGATGCTTGAAGCCAGCTCCCCGTGGAGTACGTCCTTGGGAACCCTGCCACCTTCCATTTTGTGGACATGACCAAGCCAGCGCAGACAGGAGTGCAAACATAACGTGGGCTTGCAAGAGCTCATCTTTGCATGAGACTCTGCCCTGCCACGCGATGCCCAAAATCTTCCAGACGCAGCATACATGACAGGTGTTGAGGTGTGGCTCCGGGATGGTATTTAAGTTGTCCATCATTCACTTCCATAAAGCAGTGTGCTCTACACACAAGCCTGATAGGCCTTCATCTTGATATTAGTCAGTAGCATCACCTTTTAAATGCATTATTATTTACTGACTTTTTGGTTTTCTCTTGCCAAAAGCGACTCAAAGCCATTTAACAACAACAAACAAACAAACCACCCTGAAATAAACAAAACCCGCACATATCTATATTTTAAAAAAATACAGGGGGGCAATTTGATTTTTAAGGGGGGCAACTTGGAAGCTTGTTTAGACCCAGTTAATGGCCTTTTAGGCTTCCTCCACGCGAATAGGAGTTCACTTTTTGAATAATAAGAATTAATTGTCACGGGGTGGGGAGGCATCAGGATTTTAGAGATGCTTAGGTAGGGCATGGCCAAAAAAAGGTTGGGAACCACTGCTCTAAACTAAAAATAAAGTCCACAACGCTGAAACTTTTCCTCGTAGGGGAGTCCCTCCCTCCCACCCCCGCTGGATCATCTCGGGGGTCCTTTTTTTCTAAACCTTTCCCCAGCCCTACAATATCTTTTCCGAGGCGAGGCGACCAGAACCCTACGCGCAGCTTCGCAGGTCCTCTGAACTGGCCGTTTCCCTTCCAGTTCCTTCCCTCCCGATCGCATGGAAAGAGACTCTCCTTCTCCTCCTTTTCCCGGTCCTTAAGACGCGCTTCTTTCTGTCCCTCCTGCTCCTTCCTTCCCCGGCGTTGCGGCCCGCCTTCCCCCCGGCTCCGGAGCGGCAGGGGGCGCCGTCCTCCGCCGGCCCCTCCGCGGAAGGCAGCGGCGTCGCGGCGGAGAGGCGGCTGGGAGGCCAGAGGGCAGCGGGGCGGGCCCTGCTTCGCTGCTTCCCAGGCGTCGGCGCTGCCCGGCCGCGGCCGGCCGAGGGGTGCGGCGATGGGGATGTGCTTGCCCTGCATGGGGGGAGCCGCCGACGACGTGGTGGAGACGCCCGACCCGGTAAGCGGGGAGTCCATCTCCCTCCCCCTCCGAGCCCCCTTTCGCCATTAAGGGCCACCCCAGATGCAACTCGACCCCAAACACAGAGAAGTCTCGCCATTCAATAGTAGCGAAACATTCCCCCCCTCCTTTCTTAGGATGAAGCGAAGCGCCTTCCTTCCACCTGCGCGTCGCTTCTTCTAGTGATCTCCTTTCCCCTCCCTTCCCGGGTTGGATAAAGCGCAAAGCGTGGCCAGCAGATCTCTTCCAACTCCTGGGGGCGCAAGCTTTAAGACCTACTTGGAAGGAAGCTCCGCCGAGGGCCAGGTCAACGGCTGTAGGATCGCAAGCCTTAGAAGTTAGCCAGGAGACACACCCTTAAGGACCCTTAGTGTCCTGTTACGTGCTTTTGCCTTCATGCGTTGGTAGAGTTGGAACAATCGTGCGCTCAAAAGCGCCACCAGGTTGCAGGCGCCCCCAGTGATCCCAGGTACATGCACGGAGGAATAGCGGCCAGTGAGTTTGGTGGTGGTGTTTTTTAAGCCTCAAAAGGAGAACAGAACTCTGGAGTGTACAAGCCCTGCTGGAAAAAGAGCACCTACTTTGCTGTTAGTGAGAATGAGAGAGAGAGAGAGATTACACGTTCTGTTGGATGCATAGTTCAAGGATATTTGAAATATTTATAAGTGTATGAAGTGCAGTTGTCTAATTGCTCTGTAAATGCTTCTGCTGGTATGAGAACACGGGGGCGGGGCGGGGGGGGGACGTAATCGTAATAGCTAACCCAAGACAGTGTAGTTGCTTAGAAGCAAACCCCACAATCTCCAGAGGGGCTTACTCCGATGTAAGCATGCATAGGATTGCAACTTGATTGTTTACTTATTTTCGCACAAAAAATAAATAGCATTTTTTAATTAAAAAAACCCCAGACAATACATTTTTTATAACAACGTACCTTATTTAATAGCACACAAGCTACAGGTAAACTTGGTAGTTTGTAGAACAGTAAAATCCAGAAAGTTTGTGTTCTGAAATCTATATTTATCCCTGACAACTTGATTTCCTGGGATTGCATCTAGACCAATTGATTTCTTGATACTACAGCAATATCAGTATCTTCCCTCCATGGTATCAAATTGAAGTTTTAATCCTACCTTTACATGATGTGCAATAATACATTTGTTTATTTCAAACATTTCTGTTCCACTCTAGATTTAAAATAACAATGATGATCTGAATTGAAACAACAAATAAGCACTATAAAGTTCCAAAATAAAACATTACAGGTGAATATCATACATAAAATACACATTTAAAGTAGTATAATTGACAGGTGAATAAAACTCCCTCCCCTCAAAAAACCTCTTTGGTTTTTGTATTGGGCCAGGGAGGATTCTAAGAACATTTAGCTGAGCATAGTTAGAAATCTTCCCATCAGACCTGCCTGCTGAATGTGGTTGGAGGCAGAGCAGCTGGGATAGTTTGTTTGTTTGTTTTACAAGTGTATAAACTGCTTCACAGCCTGAAACAGTGTATGAGATTAAAAAAGAGATAAAATACAGGCTCTGAAAATGCTAAAAACCGTTTCAACACCATGTACAATTAATAATCCATAAATGGCTGGGTCGTACCTCGGGGAAAGCCTTCCTAAATAAAAATGCATCCAGTAGCCACCTAAACATCAATATGCTACATGCCTATCTAAATTTCAGCTGGTAATTGATTCCACAGGGCTGAATGCTCAGGGTCTGGTTTCTAGTAAAGTGGTACCTCAGGTTACAAACACCTCGGGTTACAAACACTTTGAGTTACAGACTCCGCTAACCCAGAAGTAGTACCTCAGGTTGAGAACTTTACCTCAGAATGAGAACAGAAATCGCACGGCGGCGGCAGCGGAAGGCCACATTAGCTAAAGTGGGGCTTCAGGTTAAGAACAGTTTCAGGTTAAGAACAGACCTCCAGAATGAATTAAGTTTGTAACCAGTGGTACCAATGTATAAGCTAAGCACACCTCTGGGGCATTCAGTATTCTCAGCAGTGCCTCATCTGAGAAGCACAGTTACTAGGCAGTGGTGGTGAGTGGTCCCTTGGATAACTTCTTGGTCCCAAGTGGCCGAGGGATTTAAATGTTAAAAGCAAAACCTTGAATGGTGCCCAGTAGCATAGAGGCAGCCAGTGCAGTTCTTTCAGCAGAGGTGTGTACACGATGTTGACGGGATACTCTAGTGACCAACGTAAGTGCTGCATTCTGCCTGTTTAAGGCCAAGGGAAATGGCCACATGGAGTCTGGTCCACCGTGTGCAGTATTTGTGATATGCTATGTTATGTGGTTGACTGGGGGGGGGTATCAAATGTACTCCCCCTCCCATTGTTTTCCCGGGAATCCTGACCACGGTCTTGAGCAGTGGTAGTTGAATTGCTAGAAAGGGTTCAATTTTTATAATTTTCGAAGTGGCAGCTATTGTAAAGTAGTGCTTAGGGTGTGACGAGGCTCGAGGAAACCTTTGTTCAAATCCCCTGTCAGCCACAAGGTTTCCTGGGTGACCTTGAGCCAGTCTCTTGTCTCAAGGTCACCCTTTTAGTGCAGCTGTGAGGGTAAACTGCAGGGTGTTGTGAGATCCTTGAAAACACGCTTGAGCTACCTCAATGAAAAAGGGGGTTTGAAAGGTATACCACCTGGAAGGCCAAAAGCTCCCCTCCCTGTGTTGAAATCTTTCTCATATTCACACACATTTTGTGTCTCCAAAATAATGTGCTGTCTCCCAGCATTGGTTTACTTTGATTTCCCCTTCTCCTACCCTCAGGTCCTTCATGTTCCATCTTTTACTTTGCTGCTGGACCGGACTGCTCACTTGGTTACTCACTCACTGTTGTTGGGCTGGAGCACAAACATCCACACCCTCTCCTCCTCATACCCCTTTCCACTGCTGAACTGGATTGGCAGGCCCTCTCTTACCCAAACAAGTGTGCATGTAAATGGGCTAGGAGCAAAGGAACCCGGTGTACACTGAATCAGACCGTTGGTCCATCTAGCCCGGTACTGTCAATTTTGACTGGCACAGCTCTCCAGGGTTTTAGGCAGGAGACTTCCCCAGCTCAGCATGGAGATGAAGATTTCAGGGATTGAACCCGGGATCTTCTGCATACAATGTATGTGCTCTGCCCCTGAGCTGCGGGAAATGAACATCACCTCACTGTTTGTCTTCTTCTTTCTTCCCACTACTGCATAGTCAGATATTGGGGTGAGTAGAACCCCAGTATTCTTCCACCCTGAAATGTGCCCCCCGTAGCCTCACTTGGTTGCACTTTTGCCTAATGATGAGGCACTTGGACATCTCACTGTCGACTAGGAAATTGAAAGGCTTATATGCAGTTGCAGGCAGAACTGGCAACTTTGGCTCGAGTTCCCAACAACTGGGAATAATCTACTGCATTGCAAAGAGTGATGGGAAGTCCAATTTCCTCCTCAGTAAAGTTGGTGTGAAATAACTTCTTAAACCACTCTTTTTTTATATCCTTTTTGCAGGAGCTGAAAAGAAGACAACTCGCAGAAGCTGCAGAAAAAAGGCAGATGGAGGTAACCTGGTGTTTGGCACAGAGATTGACTCAGATACTTCCTTATTGAGTGAATGTGAACAGTAGATAAATGGTTGTTTTCTGGAAATTGCATCAGAGTCATTCCTGAGCTGCTCTGGAATATAGGCTTTACAACTAATATTTTTGGAATTAATATCCAGTAATAGTTTCTAGGTATCATATGCTTCTAGATACTTGGCTATCGTAAATAACTCTAGTCTCCCAAACTTTTCGGGCAGCAACAGGATTGCTTTTCTGAAGAGTTTCAAGAGGAAATGGCTGGCCAGCGCAAGGCACAGGCTTTCATCTTCCTTGCCTCGTTTTTTCCTTTCTGGGGAAGGATGCCTTTGGACCCATGAAGAGCTCAGAGGATTCTGAGTCAAGGAATGTCCAGGGATGCTATGTGGCCCATGGACGCCATGCTGGGTACCCCAGTTGTCTACATGGACAACTGCGTTTCTGTGTCCTCTGGCACTCGTCACAGTCCTCCGTGCGCCAGAAGCAGTTTAGTCATGCTGGCCACATGACCTGGAAAGCTGTCTGTGGACAAACGCCAGCTCCCTCGGCCTGAAGCGAGATGAGTGCCGCACCCTATAGTCACCTTTCACTGGGCTTAACCGTCCAGGGGTCCTTTACCTTACATGAATTTAATATCCACTGAATTTGAGATTTATGTAAAAGAGCAGCCTTGTGCATACCTGTAATTCATTTAGGAAAGAAAAAGCAGAATGGAAAAGGTATTTTATGTGATTGTTGTATTGATTTTTATATATTAAAAAAACCCTAGATTGTCATGTGATTCTTGTGTCCCATTGTTCCTTTCTAAAGTCTGCTTCTCGGGGTATAAAGAATCCATCTTCTGTGGAGGAAAGGAAAAGGAAACAGGAGGAAATGGAAAAACGCCTTGAATCAGGCCCCGGACCAGGCGGCGGCGGACTGAGAGTAATTATGCATAAGATTAAACGCTGTAATTTCTTCTTCCCCACCCCACTTTTTAAAGTAATTATTGAGAGTGATTGCCTTCTTTTTGCAGACAACTGTGTCTTGTAAAGTGCTTTGTTGCTGTTGAGGCATTTGGCACAGGGAATCCAGTTCCCGTTGACAGTTTGCTTCACGCGTAGCAATTTCATTGAACAACTGAAAACTGTTTTTCAGAATAGGAGTGCGATGGAGTCTTTATGACATTTAAAAGCGAAAACATTAAATTGAGTAAATAATTTTAAAAATATTTTAAATTTAAAGAATTTATAAAGCATCCACTCTTTGATAATGTCATGAGGTGTACAAAGAAAGAAAGTTAAAAATGAATATATTAAATACATCTGTAAAACCAGCAGGGATAATATCCAGCAGTGCTACAAAACTGGTTGAATTGTAAGTTTCTTAAGCAGGCACCAGAAAGAACAAATTGTTGTCACCATGCTCATTTCCAGTGGGAGTGTATTCTAGAATCTGGGTGCCACCACATTTAAAGCTCTGCAGCAGGTATTATTTACATGAAAATCCAAGGTGTGTGGCAGCCACAAGTGGCCTCACTTGATGACCTAGGGGTTTGAGTGGAATGCTATGGAACAGAATTGTATTTCCTAGGAGTATACACAAGCATTTGTTGTGCATTCCTGGTGGTCCAAAATTATTGCTGGAGGTGTCCAATAAAAACCAAATATGAAAGAAATAATCAGTGCATAAGCTAAATGTGGCCTCTCATGAGCAGATGAACTGGATTCACAAAATGTAAGCCTATTCCTATGTATAATAAAACCCTTGATCTTGATAAAGATCCCTTGATAAAACAAGGCTGTGAATTTATATCCCCTTTTCACCTTCTTATGTTTTTTTTCCCCATCCTAGTGGCAAGTTGGATAACTCCAAGGGCAGCTCCTGGAGGGAAGAAGACATCCTACTGCCAAGACCTTGCCAGTTCTTGCGACTGAATGGCACTTGTTCAGTGTCTGGTTTTTGCCATTGTTTGCCTCTGAAGATGCAGCAGTACTTTGCCACCATAGCAGGGCAGGGGAAAGATGTGCACTAAGGATATTGTCAAGTGAAAGCTTCACAATGCACAGCAGAGGTGGCCAAAGTCAACAGTCCCCTACTAGTTCCGTTGCCATGTTCTAGAGTTTTGCATGTCTTAACATATTTGAGGGGCCTGAAGAGACACGTATGTAATAAATGAAATTTTCCTGCCTTGATTCTTATGGAAATCCATTCTGCTTTTTACAGTGTGCCCAGATACTTAACTGTGTCCTTTTCTCCCCTTGTGTCACACTTGTAAGATTTAAGTCACAGTCCTTAAATCTTAACGTGAGAGTGAGTATTTTGAGGATAGACGCTTTGGTGCCTTTTAAGGGTGAACTCATATATTTAAGAGAAATGTCACCATGAGGTAAGAAATTGTGTCTTATTCTTAAAAATGCTAACTCTGGGAGGGCAGTGGGCAATATTTATGGGATTTATTTTGCTATCTCTCATATTTCCTTCTACAGCATTGAGAGTATGTGATTGTGAATCACTTAAAATACAATTAAACCAACAAGGTTTTGCCTGCCTGCAGTTGTCCCTAAGTTGGTACTGAATGATGCCTGTCATGTCAACTGGGTAGACAGTACAAAGCCTTGACATGTTCTGCTTTCTGGCTATTTCTTTATTTTTAAATTAGTATTCTGAAACAAATATAGGGAATATTCATGTAGTCTCTTTGAAGAAAACCAAGGAATTAAATCAGCTTATGAGGGAGATGGTTTCGCCTTTACTTTTTGTGCTTAAAATTAAGTTGGTGGTTTCTTGCATGCTCCCAAAGCATATTTGGCTTTTTTAAAAAAATCTCTCAGTAAAAAATGTACAAAACAAAATCTAAACTATATGCAACCCTGTGTGTGTGTGTGTGTGTGTGTGTGTGTGCGCATAAATAAAGTGCCCAAATGAACTTCCTCTAATTTAAACGGGTTATTTAACTTTTCCCATCCCACAGCATTGTTATAGGTAGTGCTGATATTCAAAGAGCAGACGAATCCCTACAATAAATACCCCATTAAAATGGAATGAAATTAAGTTGGAAGGAATGTGCAGTTTTAAAACCTCTCAATATTCTGCTGAGTTAGCTTCTACTAAAGAAAGTATGTTTCTTGTTTTCTAGCCCACAGTAATACAATGTCTGCAGCCTTTCCCCTAAAGGTCAAACCCTGTCTTGAATTTCATAAGCTATGCTGTATTTATAACTAAAACTGTCCAAGTGCTTTAACAAGTTAACTGAGAATGGGATGTTTCCCCTTTCCTTGGCACAAAATAACACAGGTTTGGGTTGGGAGTGATGCATTTGGCCCAGTTTTGAGAGAAAAGTTGTGGGTTACGGCAATTTCCCTTTCACTCATTAGCTTTACAAGGTGTATCATGTAGTATCTGGCAGGAGAGAGTCCAGCATCTGTCTTCATATTTGTTCACGTAATGTGATTGTTTTAATAAATACAGTGCAGAAAGTCTGGCCACGTTGTAAAATACCGATACCTCAAACATAATTATGGGCATTTGTGTTGCACTCATACTGTACTTACTGCTTTTTCCTGCTGTAATACCAATGGAATAACACTTGCGACATCTAGATTTCCAGTAATGCAGAGCATCCTTTAAGAGGATGATGCTAAGAAAAGTTATTATTAAAGTGCCAATTTGGGAATTAAGTTGCCTGTGCTTCTTTTATTACTTCTGTTGAGCTCCCAAAAAGGGGGTCCATGTTGGACTGAGAGCTTTCCGTTGTCAGCACTTTCTACATTAATTGGTGCGAAACCACTGTGTTCTTTCAGTGCATACAGTAGGTGTGTGAGGTCTCAGCCCCTTACTGGCTGAACTTTTTATACTTCTCTGGCTGATATAGTTGCCATACTTCAAAGGTCTGTGTACTTTTGAATTTCAGAGCTTTGAATAATGTGGATTTTGTGTTTGAGGAAAGGAGTGTGTTATTTTATGTGACAAGTCATGGTGTTGTAGAAAGGTACTGGAATTTTATTTGTGTTACAAGTTGTACTGTTTGCTTATATTTTCCAGAAATGCTACAGAAGGATTTAATACAGAATTATCTTTAAAACACATTTTCAGGAGCCAAGTGTTTTTAATTTCATTAAGAGCAAGACTGTGAATTACAGCTTTATATCCTGTTACATATTTGTTCTGACCACTCTCCTCTCCAAAGGCGACTTGAGACTTCTTAGGAATAGATACAATCCTGCTTACCCCATTTGCTATTGCAGAGGCAAGGTGTCTGCCTCTTCTTGTTTGTGTGCAACCCAACAAGCTGATTGAGGGGTCTCACACATCCAAAACAGGTTATTAGTACTTTGAGAGAGCAGATAGCCCCTATCCAGAAGCTTTTTGCAGGTGAGGATCTTGTTCCCACTGTCCTGAAAACTTGAGTGCGTAGTAGAAAGAAAGCAGTGCACAAGCTGTAGACAAACCATGTCCTTTCCATATTTTTTTGGAATGAGCAAGTTCCACCAAAATCGAAGGGATTTTGAAGTAATGTATAAAAAGATCTTAGGGACGCGGGTGGCGCTGTGGGTAAAACCTCAGTGCCTAGGACTTGCTGATCGTAAGGTCGGGGGTTCGAATCCCCGCGGCGGGGTGAGCTCCCGTCATTCGGTCCCAGCTCCTGCCCACCTAGCAGTTCGAAAGCACGTCAAAGTGCAAGTAGATAAATAATAATAATAATAATAATAATAATAATTTTTTATTTATACCCCGCCCTCCCCAGCCAAGGCCGGGCTCAGAGCGGCTTACAAGCAATAATAAAAATAAGAAGAATGATTATAACTTAAAAACAAAAATAAAATACAACATTAAAATAATGGAACATTAAAATATTAAAATGTAGCCTCATTGCAGGAGGAGAAGGAAAAGAAAAAAGAAAGAGAGGGAGGGAGGGAGGGAATCAAATTGGCTCCAAGCCAAAGGCCAGGCAGAACAACTCTGTCTTACAGGCCCTGCGGAAAGAAATCAGATCCTGCAGGGCCCTGGTCTCATGAGGCAGAGCGTTCCACCAGGCCGGAGCCAGAGTTGAAAAGGCCCTGGCTCTGGTTGAAGCCAATCTAACTTCCTTAGGGCCTGGGACCACTAGGGTGTTGTTATTTATGGACCTTGAGGCTCTCCGTGGGGCATACCAGGAGAGGCAGTCCCGTAGGTACGAGGGTCCTAGGCCGTGAAGGGCTTTAAAGGTCAAAAGCAGCACCTTAAATCTGACCCTGTACTCCACCGAGAGCCAGTGCAGCTTGAAAAGCACTGGGTGAATATGTTCCCATGGCAAAGACCCCGTGAGGAGCCTCGCTGCAGCATTCTGTACCCGCTGGAGTTTCTGGGACAGCTTCAAGGGCAGCCCCGCGTAGAGCGAATTACAGTAGTAAATAGGTATTGCTTTATAGCAGGAAGGTAAACGGCGTTCCGTGTGCGGCGCTGGTGCTGGCTCGCCAGATGCAGCTTCATCACGCTGGCCACGTGACCCGGAAGTGTCTTCAGACAGCGCCGGCTCCCGGCCTCTTGAGCGAGATGAGCGCACAACCCTAGAGTCGGACACGACTGGCCCGGACTGGCAGGGGTACCTTTATAAAAAGATCTTAGGTTCTTGTCAAATATGTAATTTGATAACAAAAGGATATTGGTTGCAGGTAGAGTCCTTGATGCAATGCCCCTGGAGCGTTACCAGGTATCTGATGACACTACATAGGAGCAGAGGTTACACACACGCTTGTCTTCTGAGGTCTGATGCCTTCAACTAGGATTTTCCATTTTGTGTGCACAAAGCATTGAAAAGATCAAGGCAATGCCAGCCTACATGGAACATCCAAGTTGGGTAGGCTTCTTATTTGGATTGAGACAATGATGGTCAAAAGATCCATTCCGTCAGCAGCTCACGGAAAGTGACTGTTCTTATAGCTTACAGATTAAGGATTACTTATAGGTAAACCTATACTGTAAACTGCCTCGTGAGCCCTGGTATATAAAATAAATAGGTAATGCTCATGGAAAGTGTTTAGCCCCCAAAACACTGCAAAATCTGAGCAGGTTTAGATCAGTCTCTACTTGTTTGTGAGAGCAATATGTTGCAATGAACCACTGAGAGTTTGTTTTTTTAAAAGTATCTGTTTATTTCTAATGCACCATGTGATTTCAGCTCAAATTTATACAGTCATCATTCAAATAATCCTCGAACAATGATTTTTCTAGGAAAGGCACAAAAGTTGTCAAGTATAGACAAAAGAAAATTAGCAAAACCAATAAACCAAAACCCTAGCATTCCTATATATCACGGAGATGTGTAACATAACCACTCCCCAACATTTATCTACAGAGAATGCATGTAGTATTTCCATATTTTATTCAATATGCTCAAAAACATAACTAAATCCAGCGGCAGAGAATATCCCACCATCACACGGTGGGACAATGGTCTATAACTGCCTATACATTTCTATAACCACCTAAAGCTATACTGTTACCCTTCAAGCACAACAGCCAGGAAGAGCTAATCTAAAGGCAAATACCAAGCACCCAAACAGCAGATACATGGGAGGACTACTGGTGATTGCATTCGCATGTCAAGTTTGAAAATTTCAGAATGGGGAGGGGGAAGCTGTGCACCTTCACATGTTGGGTTCCCGATTCCCACTAGGCCTGGCTAGTGGTCGAGGATGATGGGAGTTGTAGTTCAATGACACCAGGGGGGCTACAGGCTTCCTATCCTTAGGGAAGAATGACTGTCGGGAATCATTCCTCTGTCAAAAAGATATACAGATTTTCTTTAGCACTTACTATGAAAAACAAATCTGAGTGGACTTACTCTTTTAGCTGTAACTTAAAGCTATGAAACACACTCGTGAGTCTTATCATTCCAAAATGTTGGCCAATCTGAAGCTCTTTAGCTCTTTATACTAAGGGCATGTGGTCCTCCAGATATTGTTGGACTCCAACTTTCATCGGTCCCAGCCAGCATGGCCAAGGGTCAAGGATGATGGGAGTTGTAGTCCCAATAACATTTGGAGGATACAGGCTCCCCATCCCTGTCATAATTCCAAGGCACTCTTCTCTATCTTTGACAAGGCCAGCTTTAGCCTTTCTGTTGTCCAGATGTAAATATGGTTACTGTCTTTCGATCCACCTAATGCATACCTCTGATGCAGTCACTTGAGAGAGCTTGCTTTGCAACAGCATCACTGGTTTAGAGAGTACAGGGTGAGGGGAATGGGGAATCCCAGGTGGCATTTGACTTGTGGTCCAACAGCGCATTGCCATCTCGTCAATACCTGGTGTTATATGCAGCTTAGGAACCAAAAGCATACATGAACCATATTGAAACATCTTAAAACAGATTATAGCAGGGGAGGAGGATAAATACTCTTAAGGTAGCTTTCAATAGCACACATGCATGCATTCTATGGAGGCTGCTCTTCTGTTTTCAAACCTATACATGCTTGCTGCTTGTTTCTTTCGCCAGTTGGGAAAGGCCGTATATTAAGACAATATACAGGCATTTCCCACCAGTTATCTACCTTCTTATGCAGTAAACATACTGGCACAGCAGCTGCTGATAGGCCTAGAGCTATGTGATGCAAGTATGGCATTCTCTTGCCTGTAAGAGTATCCCATTCATTGCAGGGGGGTGGGGGTTGATGAAGTGCACAGAAGAATGCATTAAAAAAAAATCAGGTCTCATCTATGAATGAGGCAGCCTGTAAACAGAGGAGTTCACAGTGTGTGTCAGAACAGGGAAAGCTGCCTTATATCTATCTGGCCCAGCAGTGTCTACTCCGACTGGCAATATATCTCCAAGGTCTCAGACAGAGGTCTTTCTCATCTGCTACCCAGCTTTTTTCTTTTTTTTAACTGGAGGTGAACCTGGAGCTTTTGGGATGCCAATAATGAGGCTAACCACAGAGCTCTGAATTAGGGCAAATGATTGAGAATCATAGATGTTTTCCGTACAAATATATCACATTTTGTTACTTTAATGTGACTCATAAGTCATTCTAAGAATACATTCATAGAGTAATAATTTGGCTAAAAATATATGTCTGTTTTTTAAAAATCAGATTGTAGTAATTAACCTATCGAGGGTAACTTGCTATAAAAAGGAACAGCACTAGAAATAAATAGTTCTACAGTTCAACAACCCACAAAATGGGCTGCCATTTCCAGTCTGCATGTAATTTTCAGGAGTCCTTTTAAAGCACCAACTAATGTAACTACACTTGAGAAGATAGCATGGGCCTACATATACAGAGTCCCGAATGAACATTTCACTTAATCTCCTTTTTGGTTTTGTAATGGGCAGAAACAACCAAGTAGCTGTCTGGGTTCATATCCTTGATGGTCGGAGACTTGTTCTGGATTGGAGATGTTTTCCCATCCACTCGGGAAATCTGCAGCATTCGGCACGGGTCGTGTTTCAGCAAATACCCAGCAAACGTCTCCCAGCCGCCTCCTACGCGAACCATCACATGCTTGTTGTGCAGCATCTGAATTTGCAAAAGAAAAGAGGGAGAGGGGAAAACTAACTCCTGAAATTCATGTTTGCGAGCAACAAGTTTTTTCCTGAAAACACTCAAAGCCCAGTTCACTGTAGTCCTCTTGAAATCACTGGGAGTAACGGCTCAGTCCTCAACACTTTCAATGCTGTTGCAGAAACTGCAGGGGAGGCAATCAAAGCTTTGCCACAGCATACATCTGCTCATGGGTGCAATGCAAGGTTGCATTTGGGCCCCGCTATTGTTTAATATCTCCCTAAATGATGTAGTTTAGAGCTTTCCTCTGCTCTTCCCTGCCTGCCAAAACTGGTAATGAACAAAAATTTATACTGCTGTTTTATTTAGACAATATGGCTCTTATTTCATTATCCCAAGTAGGTACAAGATTACTTTCCAAATTCAGAGCATATTGGAAGCAGGATAGCTCATATATTAATTACAGTAAGACCAAAGTGGTGGTGGTTGCCCAAAGGCATAAGTGCCAGGAATGGGTCCTGGATAGTCGTTTTCATTAAACATTACAAAAAAAATTCCTTCCAGTAGCACTTAAAGACCAACTAAGTTAGTTCTTGGTATGAGCTTTCGTGTGCATGCACACTTCTTCAGTACCTGGTGAGGTTGATGGACTTCCATTTCATGCGGCTCAATGTGGTGCCTTCCATAGTTCCAGTTACAGATAGGTAGTCGTTGTTGGTCTGCCATAGTCAAAACAAAAAAATTCCTTCCAGTAGCACCTTAAAGACCAACTAAGTTAGTTCTTGGTATGAGCTTTCGTGTGCATGCACACTTCTTCAGATACCTGAATACCTGAATTGGTATCTGAAGAAGTGTTCATGCACACGAAAGCTCATACCAAGAACTAACTTAGTTGGTCTTTAAGGTGCTACTGGAAGGAATTTTTTTTGTTTTGACTATGGCAGACCAACACGGCTACCTATCTGTAACTGTCATTAAACATTGTCACTCATTCAACTACTCAGGGCATCGTGGGTTTTTTTGTGAAAAATACTCCCTGGCCCACTCATTTTAAGGCAATTTAAATTTCATCTGCCTCTTTATTGAGAGCTAGAAAGGCATATTACTGTAGTAAGGGTCATTGTTTCTTAAAACATATTTTTTTAAAAAAAATATTGCTGAAACCGTATCTTGCTTCTTACATTGGTGCAGCTATTCACGGTACTTATAGTAGGGGTGAACTATATTTTATAATTCAAAATAAATATCCATGTGTGCTACTTAAAGAGTCACAGAGAGTACACATGATGCATTACTTGGAATTGACATAGGTCTCCCTTCTCTAGAAGCATACATTCATAATTCTATACCAAAAAACCCCTCTTGCTAATACTACACCAACATTTAGCAAAACTGTGTTTTTAGACCTGCAAAATAGGAAATTCTGGGCATCATGCTGTAACAGTATGCTATTGCGTTGCCCCATTTCCCCTATAATACCATCTCCCGGGGCGTAGCTAGCTGCTCCTGGAGCAGCTCCAAACAGTGTTGACTGCTAAGTGCATTTTTTAATCTAAATGGTCTGAGAAACCTTACCATTTTTAATTTTGATAATTTGTATTCTCAGCAACCCATAACAAACTACAATGCCCAGAATTCTTTGAGTGAAAAAAAATGTGCATTGGAGGAATAGTGTGTATGCAGCCTATGTTTTGGGTTGGGTATAATGACGGCATCTCAAAAAGTGTATCATTTGCCACTGCAAACATATCAGGTTGAATGGAAGGTGAAAAGGAATCTTTCTGTCTCTCTCTGTCTCGCCTCTCTCCCTTTGCTTGCTTTCTTCACCACAATTGAATTCCCTTTATAACTACTAACTATCAGAGAATGCTCCAGCACAGGTGGATGTGACAGAAGAGCTCAGTATGGTCCCTTGACAGTGTTAGAACTGAACTCAAAGAGTGTTATTGTAACAAATAGGATATTTTAAAAATCCAGATTGGGAGTGAAGATAAATTACAAAGCTCTCCAGAATTCCCTATGGTGAACTGCAGGCACCTCATGTGACAGAACTGATACCTGGCTTTGCCCAGAGACCAACGGAAAAAATAATGAGCAAAACATTAAGGTACATTAAGGGGCCCCAGGAAAGCAAAATCACGTTCATAAATAGTCCAGAATTGGCAGAGTATGTGAAGGATAACACATATCTGGAGGGAGCAGATAGGAATCAACGCCTTCCCTGGAAACTAGTTCATACGAGCCTTCCTAGGAAGGCTTGGGAAGCCATTGTCAACATAATAAAAGTTTTCAGTTATAATTATTCCACCATTTTCTCTTGACAGACAACTCTCAACAATGGAATGGGCATCTCCTCTGGCTGTGGGTCAAATTATCATACCATACATTTTTGTCCCACTTTCAGGAAAGAAGTTATGAGGTGTTTCGGCTGGGCAATGAAAACTAAAAATCATGTTGGTAATATTACTCTTTTGTAAACCTATTTGCAACAGTGGAGTAATTGCTAGTTCTGTCGCTCTGCTAGATTTATGTCTAAAATGGGTCCAGAACTAGGCAATTTGATGAAACAATAATAAAAGAAACTGTATGCTGTACAGTGGTACCTCGGGTTAAGTACTTAATTCGTTCCGGAGGTCTGTACTTAACCTGAAACTGTTCTTAACCTGAAGCACCACTAGCTAATGGGGCCTCCTGCTGCTGCCACGCCGCCGGAGCACGATTTCTGTTCTCATCCTGAAGCAAAGTTCCTAACCTGAAGCACTATTTCTGGGTTAGCAGAGTCTGTAACCTGAAGCGTATGTAATCTGAAGTGTATGTAACCCAAGGTACCACTGTACTTCTCTCATTTGAAAACAATCCCTCCACACTTTCCCCTGAAATATTTCCACAACAAGCCCGACTAATATGCCTTTAGTAATACTATTGTTGATCGCTACACTGACTCTCCTAGAGGAGAAGTTAAAAATTCAGAGGGGAGGGAAGAATCTAGCAAACTGACAGCGTAGCCATTGTGTTTCATTGTGGAATAAATTCCAGACATGCCCACGGCCAGTGCTGCTACCATAAGTGCACTAAAACCAAAGCAGGAAAATGTTTAATCGCAATGATTCCAGGAGACATTTATGAATCACATAAATCTTTACTCTTGGGAGACTGCCACAAGAGGGCTCTTCTCTCACAAGACCTGCCATTGAATTTGTATAGAGAAACCAGGAGTGTTATTAAAATGGAGGTGGCAGTATGTGAGGGGGGGGGGATTAATAATGTGACACTGCTTTACGGTGCTCGCATCAGCTGAAGAGGTAGTGTAACAGTCAGGGCTGTAGGAACTGCTGAGTGGCCCTCATAGCTTGGGAAAGCAAAGGGATACCGGGCAGCTTTGCACATGACAGAAAAGCGTGGAAAGGAAGAATAGATTTTTAGATTATTTTGTCTAACCTACTGCTCACTGCAGGAAGCTTGCAGCTACAGCCTGAGTCATCTACCCTCCAGGTAAATACCTCCAGTGACAGAAAGTCTCCTACCCCGAGACTTTCTTTCCTCCCTTCAAATGGCAATAATGCAATAATGGCATGAGCAATGTAGATCGATGACAGCATTGATAGGAGGACAATTCATTGGGGAGCTCACTTTCAGCTGCTTTTACACAGATAATGGAAGCAACAGCACTTCTTAGAAATAAGTATCTCACTGCATCTAACCACAACAGAAGTACAGCCACTTTTAAGTGGAAATCAGCCTAAGCCAGATATCAATACCCGAGAAAGTTGGTGATTGTGATAGCAAAGTTTTTCTTAGATCACCGCAAAATGTTGGGATGCCCCACGTGACAATGAAACCAATGCCATGATATGGATTCTGACAAAAATCTACATCACAGAACATCATAACCATGACATACATCACAACACAGGGCAAAAGGTTGAACATACAATCACGGTGAAAAGCTGTTTGCGGGGGCTTAGTAGGAGATTCACATCAGTATTCTGCATAAAACACATCAGTGGCACTCAGCCTGACATACCCTTTTCTTTTCCTTTTTATTTAAAATAAAATAAAATAAAATGCATTAATGTTTAATGAAAGAAACAAAGTTTAGGAGAGGCAAACATGAAGCCACATTTATAAAACTACAACTGTTGCAACTGCAGCCAAAGGGATTTACGCAAGCTAAGCAGGTGGAGGATTGCAGCCAGAGGGCTTTGCAAAGCATTTTTAACACAAAGATGGATAGCATTTGTTTTGCTGGCTTCTTCTCTGCCTTTAATCTTCAGTCAGGAGAATAATAGATTAATAAAAACAGAATAATAAAATAAATTGGAATAATAAAAGCAATAATTAAGTATGGCTGCAAACGCGAGATGCAGAAGATGCCTTGACTTCAAAGAAGCCTCATAGCCTGAAGGAAATGCCATTTCTCTCCTGCCAAGTTAGCACTGAATGAAAGATTCATAAGCTCTGGGGTAGATCAATCAATGCAAACCTTTAGAGGTCACCCTTCTACCCAGGGAACAAATGCTTGGACTTTTGAAATGTGATACAGCTATGCGTTGAAGGCATTCCCGCCCCCTGCTTGGCCCAGTCATGTCACAAATTTCAGCTACACAAGCAGATCTGAATGATTTGAGATTCTGACACTTATTTGTCAAGTGTGTCAGCTTAAGTTTGGATATTCAGGAATTCTTGGCCTGCGGCAAGCCATTTCAGACACGAAAGCTCCTTAGCAGATTTTCAGTTGTAGGGGAAATGGAAATATTTATGTTCCTGAAAGCCCCTCCCCACCCTGCTATTCACACACTAGACTAGAAAGCTAACTTGAACAGTGCCAGTAGAACACCCATTGCATGACCTCAGTTTTATTCTTTAGAAGCATTTGCACTGGGGTCACTAAAATGTGTCCCCCTCTCTTTCTTCCAGAGAGAAAGTCCTTTTGCTTTGCCAGGTGTGTCTTCTCCTCCCCCTGAGCACAGATCTGGGGGAACCACAGAGAGGACATGGGGAGAGAAGGAGAGCGA